ATGCAAAGTAGTAATATATAAGAATATGTTGATATCCGATTACAGTATATTTTGTACTTAAAATACTGGTACTTCAGTAAATGAGTGCAAAGTTTGGTATTTCAGTAAAATCTTTCAGTACAAGTAAATTTACTGATACTGTTAGAATGTACTCAAGTAATCCTGAATACTCAGTAAAAGTATCAAAAATACTCAGTAAAATACTGAGTATCCAATCACTGGTCGCTGACTGCTTCAATCGTCGTATCATCCAATGGAAGATGGGTGATACGAATCGACGAGTAGTAGCTGGTGGCAATGGCCAAGGAAATCAATTGGATCAATTGTATGCTCCACCCGATATGTTGATTGACAAAGAGATGGATAGTCTCATTATTTGTGATTGGCAGAATCGATGAGTGGTACGATGGCCTCGTCGTAGTGGTACAACTCAAGGAGAAATCCTCATCGACAACATCAGCTGTTGTGGATTGGCCATGGATGATCAGAGATATCTCTACATCTCTGACACCGAAAAACATGAAGTAAGACGATATCAAATAGGAGACAGGAATGGAACTCTCGTGGCTGATGGCAATGGTCTAGGTGCTGGTCTCAATCAACTCAACTATCCGGCCTACATCTTTGTCGATCAACAACAGACTGTCTACGTGTCAGATAACAACAGTCATCGTGTGATGAAATGGAATAAAGGTGCACGAGAAGGAATTGTCGTCGCTGGAGGTCAAGGCGAAGGGAATGCTCTGACACAATTATCGAATCCTAACGGACTATTCGTCGATACATTGGGTAGCATCTATGTGGCAGACCAGCTGAATCATCGCGTGATGCGTTGGCCTAAAGAAGCGAAACAGGGCACCGTTATTGTGGGTGAAAATGGTAAAGAAGAAGGAGCAAATCAGTTCAGCTGTCCCGTTGGTTTGTCCTTCGATCGTGATGGCAATATCTATGTCGTCGATTACGGAAATCATCGTGTTCAACGATTTTCAATCGAATAAACTCATTACGATGGATTATTTTTTTTTCTTTCTCTCAAATAAATCACATTAAATTGATGAAACGGAATGGTTTATTTTTGGGAACTACCAGAAAGTCCTGTAAAGATAACAGTAGCCTAACGTCAATGAACATAACTCACCCACTATCTACTAACACTCACTTTTCTTAGACTCACCCTAACCCCTCAATCTCACTACCTATTCTCATCTCAAAAAAAAAGAAAAAAAAATTACTTACCGTGTCTGCTGTTGATGATACGATGATATTTATAGCTGAAAGAAACAGAAAAAAAAATTTAATCAATGTTATATCATAATGAAACAGAATGAGATGACTTACCCTATAGTATTATCTTTTTCTTCATTATTTATTGGGGTGTGGGTGTGGGAGTGGGTGGGTGTGGGTGTGGGTGTGTGGGTGTGTGGGTGTGTGGGTGCGTGGGTGTGGGTGCGAGTGGAACAAAGGGAATAACACCCACACCCACCCACACCCACACACACCCACACACCCACACACCCCACACCCACACCCACACCCACACCCACACCCACACCCACACCTACCCAGATAAAAATGTTCTAATGATTGTTATTGCTGGTAGATTTCCACAATAACATCTTCGTATTCTATATGATCGAATATTAATCGATCGAATTTCATATTCTGGTAACGTTCAAATCGTTTCAAACGAAAATATTTCGATATTCTATTTCATCTATCTACAAAAGATCCATATCATCGATCATGTTTTTTTTATATATCTACATAATTCAGATTTCTATTTTTTTAATTCATGTGCATCGTGAAGTGTTTTTCACTTGCGTAAAAATGTTACAAATTATCTCATCACATGATACATCTTTATCATAAACTGATAATAATGTTTTATTTCATGTATATATTCATTTCGAAGATGTTTTATGAGAATTTTCTTGTCGTCTTCATATCATTTTTCCTGATTTATGTTCTTTGATGGTAATAAATACGTTTTCTTACGAATTTTATGCATGTCAAACAAATGCAATACGTCTTATCAAATTCTTAAACAAATTCTTCAACAACGGATACATTTACAAACATTTATTTGTACAGGTTTATTTATCATCAATGTTTATTAAAAACAGGAATTCATCGAAAAAAATTTGTTATTTAATTTACCCAATTTTAAATGAAATTTTATGTATGGAAAATGTTTTGATGTTTTCATCTATTGAGTTCAATAGCAAACATTGTATTCATTTACAAATTTTGTTTCCAATGTATTAGAATTAATTATTAATGATTATGGATTAGAAACAGTAACAAAATTATTAAGTAAATATTACCTTGTCTGGAATGTTCGTGCAAGTCATCCTGTATTGTATCTTTGAGATATATGGGTACTATTATTTTAACGAAGGCACAATTTTATTACGACACATCACGTTTGCCGCGATTGGTTCATGACCTCCATCAAGAAAAAAAAAGTTTTAATAGCTCTTGTATTTCGAAGATACATTACAGGATGCATTGCACGAACTTTCCGAATAAGGATATATCAATATTTTTGGTACGTTATTAACCTTGATTGATGATAAAGACGAATTTAAACAAGGAGTACTTTAACTTATAATTCATTGTTTATGTGTACCACGAATACCTTTACAGCATCAATTTTTCAACGCATTAAAATGATTGTTGATGATATTAAATTAAATATTATTCTCAAATAAACAGAACAACAAGATTAGTAAAATCTATTAATTATATGAATGAAATTTTTTTTTCGTTATTTACAGAATGGAGATGTTTTTATCGACATCATTATACATTTCTATCAACAACTACTCCAAGTAACAATTCCGAAAGTCGATTTCAAATTTTTTAATTTAAACTATTGACATCGATTATGAATGATAAAATTTTAATTGATATTTTCAATGAATATACTCTTGATTTGTACGCGAATGATCTTGTTGGAATATATTCTACTATTACTAAGACAATTTTTGATATTGATCGTATTCAATGTGAAAAAAATGTTGAATTTGTGACAAATTATAGCGACTACTTACTGATGAAAATTATTAATAACTATCCGACAATTCCTCGAACAAACATGCCTGTATGAGAATTATATGAGTAGAAGTTTTTAACAAAATTCTTCTTATTTTAATTGTTTAACAACAACAACAACATATTTTTTTGTTATAGACGCGCATTGGCAAAAACATTGCCCATGGCGTTATTCAGAATGTAAGTTGGTGTTTTTTTTTGTTTTTGATGCATTAATCGGGCGAAACCTATAAAAAAAATCATTTTAAGATTATTTTGTTATATGAAAAAAAACGAATATTATTCTATTTCTCGTAGAGAAGCATCATGGAAATATAAATTGTCTGTTTGATTGCTGGTGTGTCCACAGTCGTTATACAGATGTGGTGGAAGATTATATACATGTATATTGATGAAAGATGATCATTTTGGGTGGCACATACAAGATAAATTCAAGATGAATTTATACGAAATTTCTCCGGTATGTCTTTAAGTATTATTTCTTTAAATCTTCTCCAGATTATCTAGTCAATCCTTGGATGTTGTTCAATACTCTATAGTAAATCTTGTATTTTTCGTCATCGAATGTCAATATGAGTTTCTAAAATACTGTTTGAGAAGTCCTTGCAAACAAAACAAAAACGGTCGTAATAAACTAGATCTTATAAACTGGAACGAGTAGCATTAATCGTAGGATTCGCCCAGCTCTTTCTAATAGAAATCGTGATCGACAGAGTTCTACTAATGTTTTGATTTATTTAATTTTAAAAATCTGATCTCAAATTCACGTTCTTCGATCTCAATTATTTTTCGGTGAATCCTTAACAAAAATCTTTGATTTTTCAAAAACCCGATGCAATCCTTGAAAAATCAATTCTCAGAGAAATTCTACAGAAAAGTTATCTTTAACTTTGACTTATTCTTCTGCCATTCAATAAAATGCGGACCGCATGCAATCAAGCAAACAATCTATTCTTGTAAAACTCTTCTCTACGAGCAAGAGAGTATACTTACAACGAATTGCCCGAACTTTATTTGGACACATGGTCTTAATACGTCCCATCGCCCGTTCATCACGTGATTGATATATCTGTTTCATAACCTTGCGGCATGTTATTGTGATCCGCTTCTTTTTACAACCTTTTAATTCATTATACGATAAACCTAATACATTTGCTATTTTCTTAATCTTTTTTTTCAATTCGTTTTTTTTCTTTTCTTCATCTTTATCTTTATCTTCTTGTTGTTGTTGTTTTCCATCATTTTCATTTGCTTCTTCTCCATCTCCTTCTTCTCCAATTCCTTCTTCTGCTTCATTTCCTTCTGAAAAACATTGAAAACCATTAAAAGAATATGTGAAGAAAAATTATCAAAAATCGCAACAAGAAAATATTTCGATCAATTACAATCAACAATCCAAAATGCATTTTAATATATTTTCTGTGATAAATAATCAATGTGTATGCAATGTTTTATCTGATTTTTATCAAATTTTTAATCAAAAACCATCAGTTAAAATCGATATTGCATTCAATAATCGACTGAAATCCATTCTTATTCAAAAAATCTATAAATATCAATTATAACTTAAGAACTTGATTACAATCTGTTAATTTTAATAGGTTTAATGAATGAAAATCAACTATATTATAAAAATATAATAAGATCTCTTATATGTTAACTTTAGTTTATTAAAATCGATTATTTTGTATTTTATCTGATGAAAACCAATTTTTGTTTGAAAATTTAAAAAAAATCTATTTAACTTTTTCCCAACATACCATTTAATTGATTATATGCAACTCGAGGTATACGAAGTAGAAAATTTCCAGTATCGTCTTTTTCCCTATTTCAAAATCATATTGAAAAATACAAAATAAATCTTTCAATGATCTACTTGTCCATCAACTGTTTTTCAAAATATTCGATTTGGTTTTTTAAACGTTTATTTTCATCTATAATCATTTTGTACTGATCTAGCAACAATTCGTATCCGAATCTTGTTGGTGGTAATGATAATGGGTTAACATTAGCACGATTATTATTATTATCATCATCATTATTTGATGATAATGAACCTGTTTGTTCTTGATATTTTCTAGTAAATTTCGTGTTATTTCTCTTACGTGGCATTTCAAAATGATTTAAGTTTGATTCATATTTTATTTCCCAATGTAGATTAATTTCTCTAGTTCCCTCGACTGTAGGGAGGGTCATATGAAAAAAAATAGTTTGTGTGTTTGTGTGTTTGTGGCAGGGTCAAAAGAACATATCAGAGAGGTTAGCTTATTTTAAGACTTTTGGTCGTTTTGAGTGAACTTTGCCATAGGTTATCGAGGGCCCTGAATCCGAATCCATTGCCCATTTCGGTGGCCGAGGTCTCATTAGTTGAAAACCGACCAATCAGAAACGAACTTTCTTATTTTAAAGGCTTTTGACCTTTTTGAGTGAACTTTGCTATAGGTTATCGAGGGCCCTGAATCCGAATCCATTGCCCATTTCGGTGGCCGAGGTTTCATTAGTTGAAAACCGACCAATCAGAAACGAACTTTCTTATTTTAAGACTTTTGGTCGTTTTGAGTGAACTTTGCTATAGGTTATCGAGGGCCCTGAATCCGAATCCATTGCCCATTTCGGTGGCCGAGGTTTCATTGGTCAGGAACTGACCAATCAGAAACGAACTTTCTTATTTTAAGGCTTTTGACCTTTTTGATGGAACTTTGCTATAGGTTATCGAGGG